ACTCCGTGCATTCTTTGGTCTTCTTCGGGCAGTCCCTTCCAGAAGAAGGTGTAGCCTCCTTTTCCTTCCTTCAGCTGGCCCTCTCCTGCTCTCCGGGTCTGAAAAATGGGAGCACAAGGTTGGGATTTTTTTTTATCTTCTCGCGGCTCCTTTGCAAAAATATTGGACTCTGATGCATATGATGCCGAATGAAAACAATGAGACCCAAGTTGTGTTTCATAGGAATGCTAGACACTCACCTAGGAACAAAACAGGGAAGATGCTGAGAATATTCGATGACTGCCGCAAGCACGGCTTATCCTCTGAGATGGGAGGAAGTGGACGTCCCACACAAGGAGATGGACTGACGAAGGTCGGCAGATTACACTGTTCAACGGAGAAAAAGTTGCGAGCCTGAAAATAGTTGTTCTTTTATGATTTTGGGGTGCTGAAAACGAAAATGACATTTGAAAATGTATATTGGCTCTAGTTTTTATGATGTAAGCAATCACGTGATCATATATGGTTGAATAAATGCATGTTGCGACTTACACTATGGAAGATTCTAGAATATTCTAGAAAGTTTGATGACGCAGTATGAGTGCCGTGTGCAAAAGCCAGAAAGCCCTCTATAAGGCCAGACTTTTGAACGGTGAGGGTCAGTCAGTTGAAGACTGATTATCGTTAAACATCGTTTTGCATTGTTCTTTTGACTGTAGTGATGCCTCCTCGCACGTGTGTCAATAAAGCACTCTGGAAAAAAGATCTCAAGGCCAATGGACTCCGTCAATGCTGTCAGACTCCTGCTGGAGCATTGCAAGAGGGAATCCTTGCCTTGAATACAAAAGAAAAGTCAAGAGAAGCAAACAGGATATAAACTAAAGTCACGATTAAAGCGACATTTAAACTTTCAGACTTTTCAACTGCATTAGGCCTACTAATATAGTTTCTTGCTGCACAAACATAAACAATAGACTAATTAAATAAATATTTCTCATGTATAAACTATTGGCAATATAATTTGACTAAAATTTAGTAAATATTCACGGTTTATATACATGCAGTAAGGTTAGGCGCATTATCATAATATTAACGAATTACCTATTGTGGAGAAAATTGAAATAGCTGTTGCATAAAAACCAGAGCCAATTAACACATTTAATTATTATATTTGAATTCAGCATGTTAAATTTATTAAGAAACAGCACATTTCGTTTCCGCAACTGAGAAAAACTAAAAATTTGTAGAACAGTGTGATCAGAGGTGGACAAAGAGCGCTCTAGGTTCTTGTGGGTTTTTTCGGGCTATAGGGGCATGTTCTAGAGGCATTTCTCCTGACGTTTCGCCTGCATCTATGGCAAGCATCCTCAGAGGTAGTGAGGTCTGTTGGAAGTAGGAAAATGGGTTTATATATCTGTGGAATGACTGGAGTGGGGCAAAGGACTCTTGTCTGCTGGAGCTAGGTGAGACTGTTTCAACTGACCACCTTGATTAGCATTTGATGGTCTGGCAGTCCCTGGGGCAATCTTTTGTTGAGAGGTGATTAGATGTCCCTGATTGTTTCCTCTCTGTTGTTTTGCTGTTGTAATTTTAGAGTTTTTTTAAATACTGGTAGCCAGATTTTGTTCATTTTCATGGTTTCCTCCTTTCTGTTGAAATTGTCCACATGCTTGTGGATTTCAATGGCTTCTCTGTGTAGTCTGACATGGTGGTTGTTGGTGTGGTCCAGCATTTCTGTGTTCTCAAAATGCTGTGTCCAGGTTGGTTCCTCAGGTGCTCTGCTATGGCTGACTTCTCTGGTTGAAGGAGTCTGCAGTGCCTTTCATGTTCCTTGATTCGTGTCTGGGCAATGCTGCTGCGTTTGGTGGTCCCTCTGGAGACTTCTTGTCCACAGCTGCATGGGATACAATGGTAGACTCCTGCAGAGGTGAGAGGATCCCTCTTGTCCTTTGCTGAACGTAGCATTTGTTGGATTTTCTTGGTGGGTCTGGTAGATAGTTTGTATGTTGTGTTTCCTCATCAGCTTCCCTATGCGATCAGTGGTTCCCTTGATGTCTGGCAAGAACACTTTCCCTCTGGGTTAGTATGTTGTGTTTCCTCATCAGCTTCCCTATGCGATCAGTGGTTCCCTTGATGTATGGCAGGAACACTTTTCCTCTGGGTGGATCTTCGTCTTGACTCTCGTGGCTTCTTCTCGGTGGTCTTGCAGCTCTTCTGATGTCTGAGGTGGAGTCTCCATTGGCCTGGAGAGCCCAGTTGAGGTGGTTCAGTTCATCTTGGAGGAGGTGGGGTTCGCAGATTCTTTTTGCATGGTCTGCCAAGGCTTTAATGGTGCTTCTTTTTTGACTTGGGTGATGGTTGGAGTCTTTATGTAGATATCTATCTCCGTGTGTGGGTTTTCTGTAGACGGTGTGACCCAATGGTTGATCATAAAAACTCCAACCATCACTAAATACTAGGCCGAGATGTCACACGGGGACAGGAGAGAAGCCTTCCTCCCACAAGGATGGTAACACATCAGAATCATCCAGGCAACGTCCCCTGGGCAACGTCCTTGCAGGCGGCCAATTCTCTCAACTCCCCCCCCCCCAAAAGGCCGGTGATGGTTGGAGTTTTTATGTAGATGTCTATCTGTGTGTGTGGGTTTTCTGTAAACGGTGTGACCCAATTGTTGATCTGGTTTGCGGATGACGAGGACGTCTAGAAAAGGCAGTCTCCCTTCCTTTTCCTTTTCCATGGTGAATTGGATGTTTGGGTGGATGCTGTTGAGATGGTCCTGGGGACCACCCCCCCTTTGGCCCCTCGGCCCTCCTCTCTGCTCAGGCCTTCCTTGCACCCTGGGGGCTGTCTTGTCCGTGTCCCCATAGGAGGCGCCATGCTGGCTGGGCCCCGAAGGAAGGCCGTCTCCGCCCCCCTCCCTCTCTCCCCTCAGAGGCGCCATCCACGCTGGGGTGCCTTGGGCCTGCCTTCCGCTGGGCCCCTCCTGGCCGCCCTTGGGCCTGGGGGGATCTGTCACCACAACCGGGGGGGGGGGGAAGGCTAGGTGGCGGGCAGGCCTGGCCCTCCTCCCTCCCTCCCTCTCCCAGAAGCAGCA